TATTAGGTTATATTTTTACAAGATACAAACATGCCGAAAAACAGTAATTGTATCTTTTAAAATTATCTATAATATTCAAAACATTTCAATATTAACAAATAAACTATTTGAAAATAAAATATTTTTTTTAATATTTTGAAATAAACATTTACAAATAAAGAGAAAGAACAAATAAATTATTTGCAAGTGCAACTATGGAAGCATTAACCTTTGAAAAGTCAAATTCACAAGATAGCAAAATGAGAGAATAAGGTATACACACATAAAATAAGCATAATAAAGAATATATAAAATAAAAAGATCACAATAATATGTAATGAAAATAAACCTTACACAAGGTACCAAAATAAATAAGTAAAATAATAGAGCATGAAAATGATATGGGATACAAAGTCGTGTTAGAAAAAAAAAAAAGAGCGTGAAAAGAGTTACATAAGTCCAGCAAAATCTCACCAATATTGATGATATTTCTGTTGAGACTTTTCCTTTGTAATTTTATTACAAAAGTCTCCAAAAGTCTCAAAATTTAAAAAGTCTCACAAAGTCTTTCTGTTTTGAATACGGGTGACTTATAAAGACTCTCAGAATGTTTTAATTGAATACCCTGAAACTTTTAGAGACTTATTAAAAGTCATTAAAAGTCTCAATTGAATACATGTAAACTTTTTAGATGTCTTTAAAAGTTCGAATACAACCCCTTAAAGATACCCTAAGAAGTCGAAATTTGAAGCGCTAAAGGGAAGATATTGGAGAAATTAACTTTGCTGCAATGGCGGCGGCGTCACCTCGAGTAGAGATAGAAAAGATGCCAATCGAGCAATTGAAGGGATTGAAAGAGCAAGCCGATCTGGAGGTAAATCTGTTTCAGGACAGCCTCAACAACATTCGCACTGCCACTGCCCGCCTTGAGCTCGCATCCGCCGCCCTTCACGACCTCTCCCTCCGCCCTCAAGGTCGTCTCACTACCTACCCTTGCACCTTGGCTTCTGTCATCATTTTATTTATGATTTATATTTTCACAAAATTATGGTTTCTGATAGCTTCTTATTTCCCTTTCTTTTTTTCTTTTTTTTTTTTT